CTTTCTGAGTTTTCTTACAGCTAATTGAGTTTTTTTTATGACCACTATTTTGAATTCTCTATCAGTTACATCACAATCTTCCATGACCTTAAGTTTGGTTTCTGAAGAACATTCATCTTCTTTGTGTGATACTGTGTTACTGTGGTTTTTCATGGTGTTTAATGAGTTGTTCCTCAGTTAGTCCACATCACGTAATGAACACCATTCTCATTTAGGCAAAGATGTGTTTACTTTGATTCTAACAAGTCAACAGATTGGTAATTAGAGACCTTTTTTTTTTTTGTTTTTCAGTAGGTGGCAATATAGCACAAGTTTTTGGTTTTTCTTACCTGTGCTGCCTCTGGCTATATTTGAGAATCTGCACTTTCTACCTTCCATTGTCTGTGTCAGAAGTGTTGCTCATACCCTCACTGATACTACTTGAGCCCCTGGGGTCTCTGGGGCCTTGAAGCTGCCAGTAGCACTGCTGTCACTAGTGTTGGTACTGGGGGCACTGGGTTGGTAACAAGAGACAAAGAAGGTTATTCTATAATGATAAAGGAGTCAATCCATCAAGATGATATGACAATTGTGTATATATATATATAATGTAAATTATATATATAATAATCATATATATATATGCTTCATATGTACCAAACATCGAAGCACCTAAACATATTAAGCAAATATTAACAGAACTGAGAGAGAAATAGACAATAATACAAGTAGTGATTTCAACACCCCACTCTCATCATCGCGATGATTTCATCAAATTCATGCAGACTGAAAATCAACCAGGAAACACTACTTGAACCATATGCTAGATCAAATGAACCTAACAGACATTTAAAAACATTCCATCCATCCAGCCAGCAGCAGCAGAATACATATTATTCTTAAGTGTGCACAGATCATTCTCCAGATATACCATAAGCTCAAAAAACAGGTCTTAGCAAAATTAAAGACTGAAATAATATCAAGTATCTTTTCTGATCACCATTGTTTGAAACTAGAAATCAAGAACATGAGGAAAGTCTACAAATATGTGAAAAATAACCAACATATTCCTGAACAGTCATAGTCAAGGATAAGTCAAAAGAGAAATAAAAAATATTTTGAAGCAAATGGAAATGAAAACACAACATACCAAAACTTATGACTTGTTGGGAAAACAATTCTGAGAGGGAAATGTATAATGGTGAATGAATATGTTTAAAAAAAAAAGAGAAAGATATCAAATAATCAACCTAACTTTACAGCTTAAGAAACTAGAAATGAATAGACTAAGTTGAAAGTCAATAGAAGGAAGGAAATAACAAAGAGCAAAGCTGAAATAAATGAAATAAACAAAAGAATGAAAAGCTAAGCAAAACTAAGAGCTTTTTTTTTTTTTTTTTTGAATGATAAACAAGGGAAGTCTGGCATGCTTGTAGTCTATGGGGTTGCAAAGAAACAGACATGACTGAGTTACTGAACTGAACTGAAACAAGGGAAAAAGAGGGAACACTCTTCCCGGGTGGCACAGTGCTAAAGAATCTGTCTGCCAATGTAAGAGATGCAAGTTTGATCCATGGGTCTGGAAGATCCCCTGTAGGAGGAAATGGCAACCCACTCCAGTATTCTTGCCTGGAAAATTCCATGGGCAGAGGAACCTGGCTGTCTACAGTCCATGGGGTTGCAGAGTCAGACATGACTGAGCACACACAAGCATGAGCACTTAAGTAAATTTTATTCAGCCTTAAAGTAAAAAGATGACAATCCTGCCATTTGTGACAACATGGATGTACCTGGGGACATTATTCCAAGTAAGATAAGCAAGACACAAGAAGGAGCAACACTGTATGATTTTACATATGTGTGGAGTTTAACCAAATCCATAGAAGCTGAGAATAGAATGGTGATGGTCAGGGCTTGGATGAGGGAGAAATAGGGAGGTATTGATCAAAGGGTACAAAGATTCAGTTATACGAAATAAATAATTTCTGGAGATATGTGCAACATAGGGCCTATGATATATAATACAGTATTGTTTATGAACAAAGATGGCAAGAAGAAGCCTTTGGAGCTGATTTGTTAGTGATGATTTCACAGATGTCTGTATCTCTCCAAACACATGAAATAACATACATTAAACATCTATAGCTTCTCTGTCAGTCATACTTCAGTAAAATTATTTTAATGTTTTAAAAGAATGGAAATATTATTTTAAATTAATGGAAATATCTTTGATGCAGAATTAGGTTAGGGGACTTGTCTCAATAAAATGTTTTACAGCACCAGAATCTAGTGCATTAATCTTCACATTAGAGTTTGTCCTCATTGGGTACCACCTGTAGCTAGCAATGAACAGGCTAGATTCATAAATTAAATTTTGGCTTTCTGGGGTTCATTTTTCTATTTACCAAGTTCATTTTCTATTTACCAAGTTCAATTCAATCATATTCTATCTTAAGTAACATAAAGTACATCTGAATAGTTTAAGTATAATAAATTATAATCAAATCTTAATTAAACCTAAGAAGTCTTCCTGTCATTTCTTGATTCCTCAACTTATTAATAAAATACTAAACATCAACAACTTCAATACACTTTTCAGTAGTTTATCTCTCAAGGTGGAACATTATTTCCATGCTCCTATGACATCTTGAGTCATTTTCAAGTGGACTTGAGATTATCTGGCTCAATCTCCACGTTCTATGGATAATATGACTTAAGCATTTTAGGAAGTTTACCAGTTAGAGGAAGGCAGCACCGGGCTTAGAACTCAGGGATTCCAATGCAAATTTTTTCAGAATCTATTAGAGGTCCCTTTGTATTCCATTTCTACTGCCAGTTCCCTAAGTCATCATTCTCTTTCTCTTCATTTCTGCAACAGTCTTTGTGTCCACTTTCCTCCTTTGATCTTTGTTTTTCCAGTGTCTTTTTCATACAACATCCACAGCTATGAATTATAATACACAGCTAATCAGAACATACCTGTGATTTTTTTAGAATACATTTGATACTACTTCATTGTCAGTAAGATGAAATCTGAACTTTGTAATATGACCTTCAAGGCCAAGTATGATTCAACCACAGTGTAGGACGTATTTCATAAAATTCATTTGTGATTATTTAATCTCAGAGTTTGGGTTAAAAAGCAAACAAGAGAGAAGAAAAACGTTATTAATCTTCCAAAGGTATTTCCTCTGGAAAGGAAACAGACACATTTCTATCCTGGAAATAGGACCTAAAAGCACACAAAGGATGAGAATCGAGATAATAGAAATGTTGGTTTTAAAAGAAGTTACCATTCAGAAGATAACCTTGTAGTTGACAACACAAGTCTACCAGAAAAAATTGTTTAAATTATTTTCATTAGTAACATGAAGTAGGTTGATAAGCAAATAACTTAGATTTCATTGCCTTGTGACTTTGGAAGCGATCAGACAAATGTGGATTAAGTGCTCCTTTTCAATGATGAGCACACCCATTCTGTAGTAACAATTTTAGAATAAGAACCAATCATAAGTATACATTGTGCAACTAGAGTTGGAATAAATTATTTAGAAAATAGAAGCACTGATCAGCTGTGGAATACTGTGGTTAATCCCTTTCCTTAGAGGATGGTCTGAGAGCTAACACAGTTCTATTTCTTTCAGCATTAAAGTAATTCATACACGTGTAGCTAAGTTATCTAAAAACAGCAATTAAGAGCATATCAGGTGCAAGCCATTTATATCCCAATATGAAGGGTACAATAACCATTATTCGGAGAAGGCAATGGCACCCCACTTCAGTACTCTTGCCTGGAAAATCCCATGGACTGAGAAGCCTGGTAGGCTGCAGTCCATGGGGTCACGAAGAGTCAGACATGACTGAGTGACTTCACTTTCACTTTTCACTTTTATGCATTGGAGAAGGAAATGGCAACCCACTCCAGTGTTCTTGCCTGGAAAATCCCAGGGATGGAGTCGCACAGACTCGGACACGACTGAAGTGACTTAGCAGTAGCAGTAGCATAACCATTATTTCCTTGAGGTAGACATGAAGGGCATGTAGACCTGGGCACTGGTACTATAGTTATCATTTCCTTTATTGTTTTAATTATATGGATGCTTGGAATGAGTTGCCATGCCCTTCTCCAGGCAATCTTCCCAACCTGAGGATCAAACCCGTGTCTCCTACATCTCCTGCATTGCAGGTGGATTCCTTACCCATGCGGAGCCACCTGAGAAGCCCCAAATAATTGTTAATTTAGTTGAATGATGTTTACGGCCAGATGGTGCATGCATGCTAAGTCATTTCAGTCATGTCCAACTCTGCAACACTATGGACTGTAGCTGTAGCCCACCAGGCTACTCCATCCGTGACTTTCTTCAGGCAGGAATACTGGAGTGGGTTGCCATTTGGGCCAGATGGTAGTAAAATAAAAAGAGTATAAGTTACTAAATTTCAGAAATTTCAAAACATGGTTTATATCAGAGGGAAGAATGAAAATGTATTAAGGGATTTTGCAGTCAATGTCAAATGTCATCAGTATGTGGCATATTTAGGGAGAAAATATTCATGCACACCAAGGTGAAAAGTGGCCTTGAGAAAACAGATATTCACTGATGGGGATGAGTTAACAGAGATCGGGTGAGGTCTGCCACAGACTTCCCGCTACAGCTCTGGGGACTGCTACAGTGTCTGGCATGAAGACAAATGGTTTTCTGAAGCCTTCCACTCCAAGACCATATGATTTTTTTTTTTTTAGCTTGATATTTTCATCCCGAACATCATTTTTCTCAGAGCCTGGTGGACCTGCTTGTTCCTCAGAGTGTAGATGACAGGGTTCAGCAGTGGGGTCACCACCGTGTTCACAAGGGCAGCCTCCTTGTTGGAATCCAGCCTGTTCACTTGCCTTGGTTTCACATATATACAGATGCTGCTGCCGTACATCAGGGAGAGGACAATGAGGTGAGAGGAGCAGGTGGAGAAAGCTTTCTGTTGCTCCTTGGCTGATGGGAGATGCATGATTGTGGCTGCTATGTTGCTTACGCAATGATGGTTATGATGAGGGGTGTCAAAAGGACACACAAAGCAAGGACAAAGGCATATATTTCAAGCCTGGTGTCAGAGCAGGAGAGATGGATCAGGGGGCCGAGGTCACAGAAGAAGTGAGGGATGACTTGGGGGCCGCAGAAAGATAACCGGGACACCTTCACCACCAGACCAGCCATGAGAGTGAAGCCCAAAGCAAAGCAGGCTGTGACCAGGACACAGCAAGTGCTCAGGGTCATGATGGTCGTGTAATTCAGAAGCTTGTAAATGGCCAAGTACTGGTCTGGAGATAACACTGCTATGAGGAGGAAGCCTGCTGCGCCCAGAAACACTAACACAAAGGCTTGTGTGAGACAGGCAGCAAAGGAAATCGTTTGTTTGCCTAAAAGAAAGATGACCAACAATTTAGGAATAACTGTACTTGTGAAGCAACACTCAAAAAAGGAGAACATGCTGAGGAAAACGTACACAGTTGTCTGTAGCCTGGAGTCAGCACAGGTGATGGTGACTATGAGTGTATTGCCTGCAATGGGTGCCAGGTATGCCAGCAAGTGCACCAAGAAGAGGAATTTGCCCAGGTACTGGGCACCAGGAAAGCCCTCCAACGTGAACTCTTGGACAGCTGTCCCATTCTTCATTTCCATCAGCATCTCTTTCCACAGCAGCATCATCTGTGGATGTTAGCCTACAATAGAGACATCACAGCGAGAACAAAGGTTTTAGAAGAGCACAAGATCAAGCTTCTTAACTACCCAAGAAGGCAGCTACACGGAGAGCAAAGTAGTCCTGTTCACTGGTTATTGGATCAAAAAGACATGACTTCAATACTAGTTCAAAACTGAGTTCTAATCCCTTGAGAGAGTGATTCTTTTGGAAAGTTATTAGTGCTTAACATTTGTGAACTTCATTTTTACTCTGTGTAAAAAGAAGACAGGATCTACAGTTCACGTACTGGTGAGAATTAAATAAAATAAAGCAAGTAATTCACTTGTCATATGATATAATGATTCTTACTTTTTCCTCAAGGTCTAATTTTAGTATTGAAATCACTAGTGTATTCTTAAATATGGCATGATGAATAGGCAGCATTATTCACATCTGCAAGTTATAAAATATTTTACAGTATTACCAATTTATATTTAAATAAAGACAGTAGTAGTATAATAATATTCCCTTCGAATATGCCTTTTACTGCTGTTGCTGCTGCTAAGTTGCTTCAGTCGTGTCCGACTCTTAGCGACCCCATGGACTGCAGCCCACCAGGCTCCTCCATCCATGGGATTTTCCAGGCAAAAGTACTGGAGTGGAGTGCCAAGGCCTTTTACAATATGCAACAAATTCTATGGTTCAAATTATAATCATCATTGTTGAGGACTTTACTAATGCTTGATATTATGCTGGTCACTGAAATTCAGTGTTTCTCTTACTCTACACAATAATTATGAGTGTTAGATTTCCCTCACTCCTTCTACACAAGGAGAATTAGAGACATAGAGAAGTTCCAGAGAGGTTAGGCCACACAGCTGGGACTTTAGCGACTTCTGTCCGAAAGCCCTTACTACTTCCAAATGCTGTGACAAAATATTAAAATAGAAACAAATCTCTCGGTGATGTTCTCTTAACCTTAAGTGAAAGTTTAGCTTTATTTATCTTAATTGCTCATCATTCAGTTAATATCATTGATGAATTACTGACCCACAGTATGACAGGTTTTAGTTTAGTATAACCAGTTCTACTTTAGTATAATCATTTCACAGAACAGATTGGAGACCAGGGATGTTGGGGAACTGCTCAAGAACATGGCACGAATTATCAGTCCAGGATTTGTGCTGCCCTTTTAAGTCTCCATGATGGCAGGTAAGAGAGATGGGAATGACAGCAATTCACAGAATTAGCATCCTTAGGAAAGTAACCTGGCGACGTGGCACTTGCACACTCACTTTTGCATCAAAGCTCATTCCTTCAGCCTGCTCAATAAATCACTTCTCTTGTGATGATGCTTGGCTCTAGAATCTCAATACTAAGCTAAAGATCTGTTGTTATTTAGTTGCTCAGTCACATCTGACTCTTTTGTGACTCCATGGACTGTAGCCCACCAGAGGACTATAGCTCCTCTGTCCATGAGATTTCCCAGACAAGAATACTGAAGAAAAAAATAAACAGGAATACTGGAGTGGGTTGCCATTTCCTTCTCCAGGGGATCTTCCTAACCCAGGATTGAGTCCATATCTCCTGCATTGGGAGGCAGATTCTTTAACACTGAGCTACCAGGGAAGCCCGAGGTCTATAGCAGGGAGTAAATCTTTCTGTCCTGCTGAGGGGCTAAGTTCTCTTTAGTGATGCTCAGGCAACCAAACTGTTTGCTCACCCCAGAGTGACACTGCTCCCAGGGCAGCCTAAAGGTGCCTCTGCTTCTGTTTCAGTTACAGTAGCTAGTCCTCAAAGCTACCGTGGTCCCTGACCCAGGAACACAGGAGTCACCTCATTGTGGGGTGGGGGGGTGGGGTTTCCCTCCTCTTACAGTCATTCTCTTTCAAGAAATTAAGAACTTTCTCTGTGCTGAGGAAAAAGGAGAGGAGAAGGAAACTTGTCACAGCCTGCTCTTCAGTGTTGGGGGAGTGCACATCCCATATTCTCTGTGTCCCTGGCTGGCAAAACCCAATTTCTATACCCCATAATTTTTTACACCACAACAAGTCTACGTGGCAGCCTTGACCACTGAAATCCCAGAAAGGAGCACATGGAATAAAACAATCACAAATTGCTGCCCCCAATTCTAAGTGAAAGCTTGATTCTAGGACTACTGAGGATTCTGATGAAAGTTTGGGCTCTGCTTCCCTTAGTTGGTAATTGCCCAGCCTAACATGAAACACTGCCAAATAGGCAGCTTCTTTTGAGTCCAGCTCTGGGAGCCGCTGAGACAAGTCTTCTGCTGAAGTACACTGTGGTCATGGTCACCTCTGCTCCAACACATCTTCTATTGACCTACACTCCTCCATGATATCCTCACCTTCCTATGTGAAGAAGCATCCTTGTTCCACTGAGTCAATGATGAGAAGCTCCAGATGTGCAGGTCTGGGGCCTCTGTGACAGTGTTCCCATAAGATTGTATTTGGTTACCAAGCAAGATGGACCCAGTTGGCGAGCAGAGTGCAGGCTCTCAAACCTCATTAGCAGCCAGAGGGACAGGTTCAGAAAGTAAAGGCAGGGTTGGTGCCTTGGGGATAGCTAATGGGTCACTGTGGAGAATAAGATTTACTGGCACAATGCTTATGTTTATCTTTCCATTGTTGTCGTTACAATGGCTCCCAAATTTCCATGGTGTTCTCTGCCAAGATTTTCAAAGAAATTAAATGACTTAATTTCCGATGGGTTTTTAAAATCTCAATTTGAATGTTTCTACTGATTTCAGGTAAAAGTCCAGACTACAACTTTCTACATGTTATGTGTACCCTGAAACTAGATCACAGAGGTTAAAAGAACATATTTTGTCATGAAAAATAGCTGGCTTACTGGTTTTTATCAGGCTTTGGGGAAGATCGTTTCTGAGAAAGGAAATGTGGGGAATCTACCTTCTTCTCTCAGCTATTCTTCAAGCCTCCACCAACATTTAAATTTTTTTTCTGGTTTTATTTGTCTGAAGAATATTTTTGTTGCCCTCCCTAAACCCCTTGATAAAAGGGAAGTATGTGCTTCTTCTTTAGAGAAAAGAAGGGAACTGTGGGTGTTTTCTGTGACATCTCTAACCTGGCCTGTCTCTCTCTTTTTAAAAGAATATATAAAGTGGATCCCTAGATTACTTCTAATGCAGAACAGGAAGAAAGAGATGTGAGCCCCATGGCAGAAAAACTATTGCCATAGCAACCACTCCCTTGGAAGTTTGCTTCTCTTCCTCGGTACCCTATCTGGGTTGCTGTGGCAAGACTGGCCCATTTTTTTGTGGCCTCTGGCTTCCTGTTGAAAGCCAAGGAAGGGAACTAAACTCCCAAGGTGTATCTGGAGGAAACCTTGAGGTATACAGAGTCTGTCTGCAGATCTGTTCTGCCTATGTCTTCCCTTACCTGTGTTGATCTTACAAGGTCAAGGCAAATATCATAGAAGTTTTCATGAGTATTCATGTGGGTCCCATGTTCCTACAAACAGTCAAAATCATTTTTGAAACATCCACCCATCCATACACTTTGCTGTCAGTCAAGGCCAAACCAAACCTGGACTTCATTTTCACACTTTCAGTTAGAAGGTAGGGAAAATAAAGAATAATAGATGAGTAACAGAAGCTGGAACAAATTGAGACTAGTCATAGTAATGCCCTAAGTTTTATTTGGGCTCCCCTGGTGGCTCCCACCAGTAAAGAATCTGCCTGCAATGCAGGAGACCTGGGTTCAATTTCTGGGTGGGGAAGATCCCTTGGAGAAGGACATGGAAACCCATTCCAATATCCTTGCCTGGAGAATCCTATGGACAGAGGATCCTGGTGGGCTACTGACCATGGGGTCACAAAGAGTCGAACACAACAGAGTGGCTAAGAATGCGAGGCTTATTTGCATGTGGTTGTTTTAATTTTTTTGGTACCAGCACCGTGGTTCAGGAGTACCTATCTCATCTGAACAAGTCCCAGTGATAACATGATGGTGTGAGGGTGGGAAGAGGTCTAGCATGTGACTGGATAAAAAAAAGCTTACAAAGGTAATACTCATATAGAAATGGGGTAAACTAACCATAAGCAGGAGATGAGGGTTCAATCCCTGGGTTGGGAAGATCCCCTGGATGGACAGAGAAGCCTGGTGGGCTATAGTCCATGGGGTAGCAAAAGAGTTGGATGTGGACTCAGCGACTAAACAATAACAGCAAAATTAACTATACTGTGAACCTAGCTTAAGGGGTAGAGCCTGGCACCAAGAAATGTTTCAAAATTTTCTTGGTCTATGCTTCTCTTTTATGGATAGTGTCTTCACTGCTCTCCAATAATCTCGAATTGCTTTTGATGATACCTTGAGTCTCATGTATCTTTGAAGTTTTTCTGAATTCCTGTTGTTTGAGGATCTAATTAGCCAGGTAGGGTAAAGAAAGGGATAATTCTTAAAACTGTATTTGTGAAAATCTAAACATGGAAGGGTAAAGCAAACATTGCTATGTGGATTTTCCTTTACAGAATATTGTTTTGTTTATCAGTCTGTGAGCCAGTCTTGAAAAAATTAAGCTGCACCAATATTTGGGATCTAGATAATAAGAATATTTTGGTTTAAAATGTATATGATTAATATAATCTATTCATAGAAAGGTTTTGATTTTGAGGGGTTTATCCCTGAGTAAGACATCTATGTGGGCTTCCCAGGTAGTTCAGTGGTAAAGAATCCACCTGCCAAGCAGGAGGTACAGGTTCAATCCCTGAGTCAGTAAGATGCCTGGAGAAGGTAAGGGCAACCCACGCTGGTATTCTTGCCTGGAGAATCCCACGGACAGAGGGGCCTGGCGGGCTACAGTGCACAGGGTCACAAAGTCAGACACCACTTAGCACTAAACAACAAACAAGAAGGCTGTGTAAGGACTGTAGAAAGGTAAATCCTATCAACCATGATACTGTGGGAGAGGGACTAGGGGATGATGTGTTGAACAGGAAATGGTGGTTTGGATGGGAGAAAGCACTCTA